TGGTCTGACCAAGTTCTCTGACCTATCAGCACCTCTTCTATGTTTGCAAAGGTAGCTTTATCAACTATGCATAGATCTATCTGGGAGTATGTCCGATGAGCCTGTGAGAAGTATGTGCAGTCTCTTTCTCTTGGGTACATGGATCTCCAAGCATCATAAAGGTTATGGTTAAAAAGAAGTTTGCTTAGGTCGCTGCAATTCGTCACTGCATGCGCTGTAGGGCGTTTGTTATGATCTCTTTTAATATCCAACTCTGGGTGCAGGGTGCAATTAAAGTCCCCTAAGATTATTGTGTGTCCTAGTTTTACTGCCTCTATTTGTTTCAGGGCTTTACGGATAAAAGCTGTTTGAGCTTCGTTTGGGGCATATAGAGAGACAACAGTGACTAACATGCCATTTAGGCTCCCCACTAGAATCAAAAGCCTGCCCGAATCATCTGTATATTTTTTAGTTTCCTGAAATATCCAATCTTTATGAAAGAAAATGGCTACTCCTCTCGATTTGTGGGGTGAGTACATGTGGAATGCTTGTGGGTAGTTATTTGACCAGATTTGGGGGGGGTTTCGGGTACTTAAATGGGTCTCTTGTAGACATATTATAGCAGCTTTCGATTTATACATGGCCTGGACCGCCAAGCGCCTCTTGTGTGGACTATTTAGTCCTTTTACATTTAGGGAGAATATTTTAAATGTGGCTACCTCCATAACTTACTGTGATTGTTGAGTTGCTTGTGGCATACATGTTGGACATCCCCATGTCATATTTCTATGGGACCGTGTTTCAGCTTGACATATAGCTCTTGCCAAACCATCATGTCTAGTATGTTCCCCTTAGGTTGCAGGTCGTCACCCACGTTTACATGTTGGGTACAGTGTCTGTTAGTAAAGGTTGGTAGTGGGTAAAGTTTGTGTGATTGGGTCATAGCCATATAAAGAAAAACAATGAACAACAACATACATAACATTACAATAATCTGAAGGGAGATTGAATATGTACATAAAGTCAAGGGGGGGAAATAAAGTAGCCCTGCATAACACACAGGGATGTTATCTGCCTCGGTTGTGAGAGAACTGTCTCTCGAGTTTCAGGCAGTGGGGGTGGTGGGAGTTTCCACCGACATTAAGCCTGTTTTGGAAAATTAACTTGTTAAGTCATGTTTGTGCTTTAGGTACCGTCAGATGAAACAACTGTTGCCGAAACATTTTCTTTAGATTGTTGCAGCTAATTTGGGCTTCCAGAGCCGTCTCATAGTGCACTCAAAGTATCATATTATGCTTCTAGCTAAGGACTGCATTATTTAGCCAGTACATTTGCACCTGCATTAGTCCCTTTGTTTATATATATATATATATATATATTTTTTTTTTGGTCAGGTATAGTGATGTGCTGGGCGTTCTAAAATGGCTAACATTAGTGCTGTATAGGTCTAGGGTTCATGCTAATGTACCCAAGGTGTTCTAACCCTGTCTGCTTTTTGTGGTTCCCTGTTTTTACTTTGCGTCTGGGTGTCAATATTATCTATTTTGGTACGTGAAGGCTTTTAGAGAAGGCTAGCATTAGTGCTGTATAGGTCTAGGGTTCATGCTAATGTACCCAAGGTGTTCTACCCCTGTCTGCTTTTTGTGGTTCCCTGATTTTACTTTGCATCTGGGTGTCAATATTATCTATTTTGGTACATGCCCTGACCTTTGTTCTACATTTTCGGGGCCCTAGGGGATC